TGTGCATATGTTCCGGAAGTGTCGGGACTCCCACAAACAGCCATGTGTGATACACGACTGAGTCCACGAAACGCGATTACAGTAGCCAGCGAGGTGAGCATCACAAATGCCATCGGTGATTCATAACCGAGAATTATAATCAAGTGCTTGAGCCCGCACACTAGCAACTATCCGGCATCCTCACTTCCACGGCACGATGCTACATGCTTTGCAAGCCACCGCCAGGCAAGTAAGGAGCTGCAGGCACGGCTCCAGGAGGCCATGCCCATCATGCATCTCCAAGGGTAGTCCATAGATAGTAGGCGCAAATCACGGCTTGGCACGTTCTGACCTACCGAAGTATGAGCACATGGTCAACTCGATCGAAGTCAGGATTGTTCGGTGCAACGCCAGTTTCACTACTGCACCCAATGTGAGATTTCATGAAGGCAGAGCTGCAGCTGGAGCAGCGGAGCCAGGCACATCCCAGCACGCTGGGGAAGTCACGTGTGGTAGCTGAGTGCATCAAAGAACCCTGTGGCTTGGGATGTGTTGACTTCTGGGTCAAGATCGCAAGCATGCTAGGCATACTAAGGCTGTCCGGCTGCTTGAATCCAACTCTGAGGTTTCAAGTCCTTTTTGAGTCCCTGTAGTCACCTAGCTGGCGGGTGAGGAGTCGAGACAGCAGCCGGAAGCACATGCAAAGCCCAACTGGAGGCGATAGCAGCGCTCGAGCAGCACCGTGCGGCAGACGCCAGCACAATACAACGCCTGCAGGCAGTTCTTGATTGCAACACTGCGATTGCATGTAGTTTCCACACTCCATAGCTGCTGTGTCCTCGATTATGCGCCATTTTGTGCTCTCAGTAGGGCCGTGTCGCGGTTACCAGAGGTGGGTCAAGTGGGTTTGAAGTTTTCTGGGCTGTGATAGGAAGGTTGCTTGTACAACCTGCCCATCACCCTGAACCCATGGATGGGGACGCCGCGCAAGTCACAGGTATCTTTCGAACGATCAGGCAACACAAACATGGCTTGTGCAACATAGGCGGATTGTAAGTAAGGCTGCAAGATCTTTGTTGCGGAGCTGTCGTAGGAGGTGCTGTCGACGGTGACGCGGATTGTATTCGTATGCAAGCAGCTTGCTTCGTGTGTTGTTGAAGCTGTTCTGCCCGCCTTTTGCTTCAGGCCGCTGTAAGAAGATGGATCGGGCATGAGGGCTTTGGGATGCTTTGGGCCTTGCAGGCCTTCTTTGCAGTTCCGGGTATCCGGATGAACTTGGTCGGTCGTGTATTCCACGAGCCACAAACCCCAAGTTGAGAAAGCGGGAAGTAACAAGTTGATAGCTGAACCATACCTGATTCACCGCCCTCTCCTCCCCCCAAACAACAAAGATTCGAATGGGAGGCGAAAAGCCTGAATGCCTAAATCCTGATGGTTTCGGTCAGGGCGACCTGTCGTCCATCCAGCCAGCCGCAAAGGGCAAAGACCGGGTTTGACATGGGATGGGGTTTATAATTAGGGAGTATAGGGTTTAGGGCTACCCTACACCGGAAACCCTGCCTAGCTTTTCGATTCTGGGAACTGCGAGCGGTTGTAGTGTTTCTTTCGCAATCATATGGCCTCGCGGTCCAGGCACAGCAGCTGGAGTCGGCGCTGCGGGAGCGTGACGAGGTCCAACAGAAGCTGCAGGACAGGCCAGTACATCTTGGACTTGGATGACTTGAAGCGTTACGATGAGGGCTGTTGTTATGGGATCTGTTGGTTATGAGCTGTCCACCATCGAAGCAGCAGGCGTATTCAGAAACCCATACTGTTGACAAAGGCGGACCACTGACTTCTGCATGTCTTGTGGACTGTGAAGCGCACTAGCATGAAGATCGACGGCAACCCGAAAGCTCAACTTCGGCAAGACATGATGAGCCGGACCCGTCCAGGAGGTCTTGCAGAGGATCCAGGACGGGCCGCACGGCATGCAGCTTCTGATATCTAGCCCTGTTTCGACGCAGCAGAAGCTAGAGAGAGGCGAGACAGAGACAGAGAGAGAGAGAGAGAGAGAGACAGAGAGAGAGAGAAGAAGACGTTCTTGGATGTGGATGAGGGTCTTGGACTTTCTTAGCGGCGCCCTTGCTGCTGAGCATTGTGTCGCACACCTGTCACTTGGCCTGAACAACACTCTTACTACCGTTTCTTAGCAGACTGGGATGGGTCGCTGGCAACAGTGCAGCAGTCTCACATGAAGTTGGGACAGGTTGACGCAGACCATCAGATGTTTATCACGACTGTGGCACACAACAATGCATCGGGCCGTCATTTTTTCGATGCCATACACCACCCACGGTTGAACGCTGGTACCCGAAGACATGAGATCCACAGGAGAACCTCCAAGCGGCAGACGCCAGTCGCACGCTGTCCATGGAGAATGAAACTTGGCTGCATGGCTCGGGCCGGATGCAGGGTTTATCAAGCCGAGGGTTGAAGGTTCAGTGCAGCATTTCGTGCACTTGAGGAGGGAAGACGAGAGCAAAAAAGCTTTCGGATTTCTGCGTCTTCCGGTGACTGCCCCGGCTAGCGGCAGGAAGCTCTCCAGCAGGACTTAGCGAAGAGCAGGGAGGCGGGGGCACGTAGGCAACTTTCCCGCGATCTTCCATCGCGGGGTTCATGTTATCCAGATCTTTCGGCGTGTTGCAAAGGCTGCCAGAAAAAGAGAGGGGCAATGCTGCGTTACTGATGAAACTCAGTTTCACGGTGCTCCACTACACGGCTTGCGAGCCACGCCAGGCAAGCAAAGAGCTGGAATCACGACTCCAAGAGGCCCAGATGCCATGTCAATTTCCCAGAAATTAAGGAGAGAGGTTTCGATGTGGGCAGGGAATTTATGGTGGGCCCTACTAAGTTACTAGGTCTACGGCACAGAGACCCTGACATGCCGAGATGCCAACACACGCTAAGCTTCACCGAAGTCGAAAGTGTTTCGGCGTACCTTAACCTACCGGCCCCTGGCCTTCACTTCCGCGCTGCACCTGCAGCATGAAGCCCGAAGGCAGAGCTACAGCTCGAGCAGCGCTGCCAGGTGCATTCTCGCGCTGTAGAAAGGTCATGGGATGAGCATTGGGGTGAATTGGCCAGTTAGTCTGCATGTAGCTTATCGAACTACTGCAAGGCTGGAAACTCCTCTTGACCCCAATCGTTGCCCGTCTTGACACTGCCCGAAGACAAGCCGAACCCGGATGTTGCGACGAAGGCCATAGCAGAGCTGGAGCAACTGCGTGTAGCAGATTCCACGGCCGTCCAGTGCTTGCAGGCCAGGCTTGCATGCAGTGCAAGGGTCATCGACTAGTCCTTGAGGGGCTTCGCGATGTAGGCCATGTCTGTCCTACAGTGAGTTACCGCTTGCTCACCTCTGAAGATGTCGCTTCAGGGGTGCGAATGTGTTCGCTGGACCGTCTGAGGCATCCAATGTAGCTGTATGAAGCCTGCCTCACCTAAGAAGTGACGAAACCGCCTCCGGCCTGCGCTCTGACCTGTTGCATGTATGGCGAGTTTAGGATGCAAATTGCCTGGTACGATGTCAACCCTTGGGCCACACACTGAACCGGGTCCTGTCTGTCAGGGCGACTTGTCGACCCAGGAGACTGGGGCATCTCAGGCACTTGGAAGCGAATTGAGAGCTTCGCTTTGGGGCTACATGGTCATGAATATGAACCCTTAGCCGCAAGCTGGCCCCATCTCATCTCGTCTCTTATGCTAGGAGGAGATCAGACATAAGTGACATAAGGTATGATATACAGCCTAAGAGGAGTCGTCGTCTGAGATCTTCAGGGTGGAATATTTGCAAATCTGATTGCGTTGGGAAATGCAGGCTGCCTACTGCCCCGACGCATCGCACTCCCCGCTCAGAGCCTCTTTCCCGCAAGATCCAGAGTGAACTTGACTTCCGTCAAACAGCCTGCAAGCGACTTTCCAACAGCCTGACGGCAACCTCCAGGCAGGGCAACTGGAGTCAGCTCTCCGGGAGCATGACGAGGCCGAACAGAAGCTGCAGGACAGATCTCTAAGAGTTGCATCAGGCAACGAGTTTGCTCGGGGCCAAAACTGCACTGCCATCAGGCTGCTGTGTATGCTGTAAGACTTCTCATACTGTACCAATACGGAGGGATGGCGGGCATTTCTGTGATTTAAGAACATGTCCTGATTCAACAATATGCTCAAGCGTTACCACTTCCAACATCATGCAGCTGCTTGCCATAGTAGTCAAGCGGGTGTGGGAATCACTTTCATGGCGGCCACAGCAGTTTTGCCCATGCACAGCTGATATTTTCAAACAGTCTGAAGCTTTGCGTGTTTTCTTGCGGGCATGTAGATGAGTCAGATTTTGCTCTCATAAACGCATTCCCGGTGTAACCTTCCCAAGCGACAGGCAGAGGAAGAGGAGGAGAAGAAGCAGCAGGAGGCGGAGGCGAAGAAGCTAGAGGAGGTGAAGAAGAGGGAGGATGTCGAGAGTTTCAAGCGTAGCGTTTGTTCCGTTGGGGTTTTTAGGAGTGTCGTTTTTAGGATGTTTCGGACAATAATTTAAGGTGTTGTGTTTCAGGTTTTCTGCTTGCTAGTCATCCAGAACCCAACCATGATACTTTTGAGTATCTACCCGTTGGTAGCATCATCCGTAGCATTCCCAACTGCTTTGTTTGGACATTGTGGAAGTAGGTCTTTTGGGCTTTGTCCTGCGGATTCTGCCGTACGATTTGCAGTGCTTCCGGAAGACTTCCTACTTGTTTCTGGCATGCGTATATCTGTGGTTGGCTTCTAGACGTGAGGGGTACCTGATTTCAGCGTACCCTTAACTTAACAAGGTAGATAAAGATCCGGATTTCTTGGGTGAGGCTTCCCTTTTTAGTCTGGATCCCAGTATTTAGGGTGAGGGTTACCTCTTTGGGAAATTGTCTCACGCGATTCCGGGGTTGGTGGGTCGACCTCCCTAGACCCTAAGCCCCACAGCAGTTGAGGGATATTGACTGGAGTTTTTCATGTGCACACCAGCAGCACTTGGGGGCAAGGCCAACTTCAACCTGGAAGAGCCGCAGAAGTTGGCCGCATACCTGAAGTATGCAGACATCCGTCTTCTTCGGGTCAAGTGCCTCTTCCCCCACTGACACGGAGNNACGGAGCCCATGCATGTGAGAGTGTCTTTCACAGGCCGTAGGGTCGTACGTAGACTCTTGGAGTTGAATCGGGAGAGAGTCGATGACGGGCCTAGCTTTCTGTGATATTCACGTGTAGAGTGGTGCCGCAGGTACCTCTACGAGCTGTTGCGTCAAAAGAAGCTGCTGCCCCGACGCCAGGAAGCGGAGTGGGCCTTAGTCCTTAGGCCGGTTGAGGTTGAGATCATCCTGTTGCCGTTGCTTTCGTCCACCCCGCGCCGAGGAAGACTGGGGCCTCGTAAGCCAGGAGGAGGTGAGTGAGTGGGCAGCAGGGACCCGAGACGCGATGCTCATTTCAGTTTCACATGCCTGGGAGACCCGTGAGCACCCGGATCCCTGCGGCGACCAGCTGAAGCGGCTGGTCAGCTGCTTGAGCCTCTACGATGCTGCCTATGTTTCTGAGATCTGGGTATTTTACGAT